GCTCTGCCCACTGTTTACGGGGATCTCCGCCCCCCCCTCCTCGAAAAGCTCAAGAAGGTTTGCTGTGTCCGCTGCCATCAAAAAAATCCTCTAGCCACGAAGCAAAACTCTTGGCGTCTCCGCTGAACGTGGGCGCTGTGTACTTCACGCTTTGGTATCCCACGCTCGCACTACCGAAGACAGCAGCACCACTTCCCATGGCGCTGCTGAATCAAGCTTGATTGTGAGCAGCGGCTACTCTCACCTCTTGGGGGTCNGTCGATCTGCTCGCTGCTATTTGTGTCTCCTACCTGCGAGCCGTCCGGAGTGGTCCCTCCGGTTCTGCGGCCCGCCATCCCTAATGGACTCCCTCGAGGGAATAAACACTAGTGTGTTGGTATGTCCGTACTTGGGAGGAGAAGACACGCTTTAACTCTCTCTGATTAGGCACCCGCGGGAGCGAGGAAAGGAAGGGAAGAAGTGGCCCTCCCGAATCCGGGGAAGGAGGCCCACACATAGTAGCCTTTTTTTCAGGCATACGCATGCTCCTGTCCACATACCCCCCCCGTGCTGCTAGCAGATCTACCATGCTCGTATCCAGACACACGAACAGGATAAACCGCTCCGCTCCGCACCATACTTGATCCCTCCGAACCTGGAGCGACCACCTCCATCAATACTTGATCCCTCCGAACCTGGAGCGACTACCTCCATCAATCTCATGTACCGGCAGGCCGTCCTCGGGTTCTTCCAGTATGCCTTCTGCATAATATCCGACAAAGAGTCTCCCTGAAGAGCGCGAGTTATGCCCCCCCCGGACCTGAACGAATGCAAAGAAAACCCCTGTTTCTGCCCAGCTGCTTGCGCGAGCTTCTTCAGAGCAGTAGCCATCTTTGGTGCCGTAACGGGCAACGGAGCCCTCGACGGCATTCCGTTGCGCCCTGCTGAGATGTCTGAAAACAGATATCCCTGTGTCATGTCCCAGCCGACTCCTTGCTCGATCTCTACCAGCTTTGTTACTGCTCGAACAGGGCATATCGCCACGTACTAATCGTCGAAGGGTATACTCAGCACATGATCCGCCCCGTCACGCTGGGTCTTCCCCCCTTGGAAGCTGAACATGAGTCCGCTTCGATTCGGCAGGCGCAAGATACGTTGGATGAGTGTCGCTGTAAGCTCTTGCCCCGCTTAGTAGTACTAAAAGCTACTGCGAAGAAGGCGCTGTCTCTAGCCAATGTGATTCGTTCCAGTTTTGAGGCGGTGTTTTGGAGCGTCACCCTCATAGGCCTGAAGATTGCGTCTAAATGGCTGCGAAGGATCGCCGGCGCCTGCTTACCCAGCACTCCTGCCCGTTTCTGCTCCTCCGTACTAAATGCCATGTATCGGGTAGTCATCTCGCTTCGAACCGGGTTTCCAACGTGTAATGTACTGCTCCATGGGTCCACGATCCCCAACTCCTTCTCAAACACCATAGCCAATTTGGACACAATATTNTTTCTGCTCCTGCGTAGTAAATGCCATGTATCGGGTAGTCATCTCGCTTCGAACCGGGTTTCCAACGTGTAATGTACTGCTCCATGGGTCCACGATCCCCAACTCCTTCTCAAACACCATAGCCAATTTGGACACAATATTAGACCGGAGCGAATCAAAGGCGTATCGAAGACTGCATGCTCCCGGCTCAGTTGAACATGCGGTTAGATCCTTTGTACCCACCGCGGAACAGTAACGCGCATGAACCACAGTGCGGCGCCGGGCTCCACAGGAATCTAACCAACAGAGATACTCAACTACGTCTTTAGGCTCGGCTGCCTCGATGGAGGTAGTTTCAAGATCGAACCTGGATTCAAGAAATCGAGTAAAAAGATTCCACGTCGCTGATCTACTCTTGGTTGACGTTTTCTCTGGCCAAGCGGTGGTAAATTGCAGGTATCCGCGCGACAGAGCTTTCTCGTCGATCTGCAGTGGCGCGTCCTTGTACACCCTTTCACGATCGCTCATCCCTGAACTCCCGCACCACGGACAATAGCGGTAGCTCTCATCGTTTTCACTGTGACAAGCTGGGAACAGCACTCTACCCCTCGGTGCTGACACTCGCACCAGCGTACGAACGTGTCCTTGTTCGCCCCATGTTCCTCGTTCAGGGGTGAGCAGAGTGCCCAAGATGTTCACGACGAGACTAATGGCGGCATATATGACCATCAGAGCTTGACAATAATTCGAATAGCCTTGTGGTACAGAGAAACGCCGACACATATTGCAAATGGTGGGAAAATATGCTTTAATCAAGAAGGTGACCTAAAATTTCCTCAACTGTAATCATTCCCCATTTATTGAAATAAAAACGCTCCTGCCCTCTCTGATGGTGAGCACGAAAGAAGGGCGGACTCCCCCCCGGGACAGAAAGGGTTTTGGATCGCACCGCGGCGCTCGCCAGCCTCGGAAACCACGACTGTTTCTGGTCCGGTACTACCACCACTGCCCGTGCTTCGCACTCTTCGAGGTGTTGTAACATCACTCCTACCAAGTGTGTCGGAGGGAAGCAAGAACCGAAACACATCTGCTTCGACCCCGGCATACACTTAATGTCCTGGCTAATCACGTTCACCCCTGCACTGTCTGAAGTGTGATACCGCGAGAAGAACCGCAAGTCTTGCCCCGTGCATCTCCCTTCGAGCCATACCTTATGTACAGGCGCTGACGTGGCCATCAAGTCCATGTCAAAACCACCCGTCCAAGCGCTAAAGTCACCATATCGCGCTTCGTCCAACCTTACATGTTCGTCTGATCCGGACCGTGACATACCATCCGCTTCAGAATTGTCCGTGGAGCACATCCATCGTAACTTGAGCGTAAAATCATGTCGAACTTGCAACCAAAACAGGTCCGTAATCGTAGCATGCATGTGCGTATTTCGTGCCCGACCGCGGTTGAAGGAAACGTGCAGGACTTGTTTGTCCACGTCAACAACGAGAGTGGACCCCGCAATGCGGCCGGGGTGGTTCGTACAGAACAGCTGCAATGTCTGGTGTAAAGCATACCCTTCCTGGACATTGATATGCTGGCTCGCCAGCTCTGGCGGAAAATCACCCCCTGCTTCAAACACGTCTAACTAAGACCGCGGATCACACCGCCCCATCCGGTAGAGGATGCATCCGACGCCCCCGTCAAGGACCTCATGTGCGGCCCGGTACTACGACGCTCCGTTAAATTGCGTCCGAACATGTAGCCACCGCTGTAGCTCGAACATCAGACCGCTGTTCGGAGGTAAAGAAATCTCCATGGTGCGTTTCCTCCTCCCGGTGCGTCGGAAACCGGCGATCTGCTTGTGCTTGTGGTGCGTGTGCATAAAGCCGCCACCGGCACCGCCATCGACAGGCTCGTGCATTTGCCCGCAAGCTTCTCAAGCATCTGAAAAGAAATAGCTTTGGACCCTATAGAGTCGACTAAGATCGCCTCAAGCTTCTCTAACTTATCCTCTGGCGCCGCGAATCTGCACTCACCGGAATCACAAATGATGCCAAGTATCACCAGGCGTGTAGTGGGCTTGAGCACGCATTTGGGGAGTGAGATAAATACCCAGCCCGATAAACCACTTCTAGCCCCAAGCATGCCGCCGCCTGGGCGGCCTCAAACTGTTCCGTGGACTGCAGAAGGCGAGTTGAACGGAAATTCGTCATGTAAAAGTCGTCGATCCACGTCAAGACTGGCATATCCTGTGACCGCATGTACTGGCTCCCGCCTCGGAGAGCGAGGAATAGTTGAAAGGCACCGAACACCAACCGAAGCAGAGCACCGTGAACACATAGGACTCGCTGTTCCATTCGAAACCAAAGTATTGCCAGGAATCGGGTTGCAGCGCGACATGGTGGTAGCCCGCTTTGTGGCCGATGGTGACCTGGTGTGCCCCACGCCAAGCACACTGAGCTACTTTCCCGACCCCGTCCATGGTAAAAGGGGAATGCAAGCACATTAAGTCGAGCCATCGCGCGTCCCATATTAACATCGGTTTCTTAGGTTCCACTCCCACGGGCAACACCATGTGCGGTTTGCTGTAAACGTCCTTATCCACTACATCGGCCCATCGAGCAACGCATCCATTCCGCACGAGGGCGTCTACTTCGGTGGTGACCCACGAGTGGTGCTCAGTTGGAACATGGTTGGGCAAGTGTACTGATGTAAGGTCGGAAGCGTCATACTGGTGGCCTTGAAATATGCCCCGTGCGTCCTGGTCAATGAAATGGTACACGCTAACACCCCTTACCTATCCCAAAAGGATGTCCCGCTCGCCCGCCGGAGTGGCTAGCAAAATAACGTCCTGCCAATATGAGACGGCCGTTTGCAGGTGTGCCGGCACAAAGTCGTCTGTCACCCACATCCGAGCTTGGTGCGGTGCAGTTTTGTTGAGCAGAAGCGATGCCGTGTTTGAAAGGTCGACGGTGGAGCTGCGCGCTTGTGTTTCACTTAGGATGTCACCTCCCACGAGTTATGAGCGAATTTTGGCGGTGCGCTGTGCCCGCTCGGCTAGAAAACGATCTGCCCCAGATCCAACCTGTAGGATATGTGTTGGAGGAGCTGTACAGCGCCGAGTCGAGAAACCGATAGAGCATTTGAAGCGGTGTCTCCGTTACCGCCCGAAGGCGTGATGACACCGATGCGTTATGATAAATGGTTAGGGCCCCCCACGCTCGTGTATGGTGGGGCGGCCCACGAAAACCTAATCGAAAGCCTCCGGCGCGTTCACCGTCGACCAAAGTCCGAGCCAAGAAAATGGCAAGGTCCAGAGGTATCCGGAGATTGCATAGAGAGCGGCTAGCAATTATTTTAGTACTCGAATATCGTGCGGTGGTGTACGAAAGGTGGTTACAATTAGATGGCTGCAAGAATATAAGATATCATCTGGCTACAACGGCCTGTTGGTATGCCCTTGTTGTGTGACCTCCAGAGTCCAAAGAGTGTTGTTAACGGCATGTATTATCGTAGGGGGGCATGAGGGAGAAGGAGGGAGAAAGAGTGCCAGGCCCAAAGCCAGTCGGAAAGGGGGCCCGCAACTCGTATCTCAAGGTCTCTCCTAGCCGCCCCTCAAGGCAATCCCATCTGCGGTACACGAAACCGCCAGTGATTTGGTACAATCCGACTAATCAACCTCCACGCACGAACACCCTCCCTTGGTTCTTTACGCCAGTGAATAACCACCACTCGTGCGTCGAAGAGTACATCCGAAAAGCACCAAAACAACGCAAATCAGAAACAAGGGGAAACCCGCCATTGGATCAAAACCCCTCACAAATCTCAAGGGCTTCACGCTGTTCATATCACGAAAGATTCCAACGGCCGTACTGCAACATCAAGGCAAGACAATATCTACCACCGCCCCCGGCTCGCTCTCTACGCCACGCTCGGCTGACTCGACAAGGTCCTCCCTGCGCAGCACAAAAACAAATCATGAACCACGCCCCCACCCTTCTGGTGAGGTCGTACGACAAACTTGGCCAAAATAGCCACCTACAATGCACCTGATATCCATTGTCCGCTCCTCGAATAACACTGATAGTCTACACGCCGTATGCCCTTCCTTACGCAACACATGCCTAGTAGTTGGGGACGACTTCATACGCCCTCTCTAGTGTGCCAAACAACGCGCGTCGCTTTCCCCTTCTCGGAAAGGCGCTTTCCTTTCTTCATTCCTTGAACAAAGGCGACGCCTGGTGAGATTCGAACTCCCGGCGTATCCTTACTCGTTACATGGTCTTATTCACCAGACTACTCAGTCACTTGGTTGCCTAGAAGCACATACACGTGGCGATCGTCCAGCATTCAATCAACAAATCAGACACATGGTACATGCAACATCGTGGAAACATGACCAAACTCCTCCCGTAAAGAGAGTCCAACAACACCCAAGAGGCAACGCCCTCCGTCATCCAATAACTGCAAGACCGAAATAGTTCCACCTCAATAATGAGTGGACGACCTGAGTGGACGACCATAACTCTGTCACATTGCAGAATATCTACAGGCCGGGCGCAAGACTCTCCGAGCATTACACTCTCCAAAACAAAAAAACACGCACGGCGCCACCCTCCCTTATTCTGCAACCACACAGGCCACACAGGGAACACAAAACAAGCGGTGACGCGTGAAACTCGAGCATGTGGCGGCGGAAACACCCATGGATTTCAACAAGCAATTAACAGCGATCTATGCAAGTCCGCAACAGCGCCTCACTTGCGACTATTCACGTGCAATACAAGTTATCGCCCTTTACTGCTAAACGCCACATACAAAAGAATCAGAAAAAAATACAAAATAAAACACATTCCGGTACCAACCAAAATGAAGATAGTGCCCGCGGAAATCCACCGCGCGGCTGGTCCGTTTTGCTTCCCTCCCCACCCGCCCACACCCGACGTCCCTCGGCGTCCCGACGTTCCTCGGTGTAGCGGTGTAGCAGACAGGCACACGACGGCTTTCTCGTGTCTTTGAACTCCACCATCCCACAGCTACGTATTTCCGGGCCCCGCCAGCTGATGATGTAGAGTGCACGCGGTACCCCACGCGCCTTGATGTTCGCTGCCCCCTTCCCGCTCTTGGTAGAAGGCAGCCACGGCCACTGCCGTGCTGCTGGGTGTGGCCAAATACTCCAGCACTTCTCACACAACTCCCGTGATACCCCGCCTATCCATCGGGGCCAGGAAGCACTTCTCTCCCCGCATATCCATCGGGGCCAGCAAGATTTTTCTGGTACCCTTCCCCGCACACACGACGGGTTGGGTTCGCGTGCCCCCTCCTACACGCTCCTTAATGGGGATAAACACAAGAGAGCACACACTACTCTCAAGTGTACACGAGTGTTCTCCACCCGTGTTCGCGGGCCACATACCTTGCGGGTACAACCCGCGGGCATTCCCGCTCCGGCCTTGTCTCCAGACCCGCCCCAGCAGACATTGGTGTTGTATACCTCCAGGCCATCTCCCGGTCTTGTGTTCCTTCCATGCTGTTGGGGTGCAGGCGGCAGAACTCCACCGCCTCCGCGTGCCCCCTCCTACACGCCCTTTTAATGGGGACAAACCGATATAGCAACCGGCTCGGGAGTAGCGGATACTCTCCTCTGCTCCCACGACCCGCACCTGCGGGCGAGCGGCAGCCTCCGTGCTCCCGCTCTATGGAGCCCCCGTTGGGACTCCTGGTGGACATGCACTACACAGCATCCCCACCGTCGACAGCATCCTCTTGGCGCCGCCTAACTTCGTCCGACCCCTCCTGAGTGGATAAGTCGGTCGCTGGGACACTTTCGCTAGTGCCCCCAGCGGTAGCAACTCTGCTGTGCAACAGCTCTGCCACAACTTCTACAACAGACGGAGAGAGTTGGTGTACTGGAATGCACCAAACACACCTTCAGCAGGGACCTCAACAGCCCGCACCAGGGCGCCATCCACGTCCGGCCTACTGCTGCTCTCTCCTCCCACAGTGTCGCCCTCCCTGACGACCACGCAGCTCTTGGTGGCTACTCGGTGGAACACACAAATCCCGCCGCACCTGCCGTGCCTCTCGCAGCACGGCCCGACTAATCCTGGCCTCGCCCACCCGACTTGGCCTGCAGAAGCGATGGCAGCCTGCCCATCATCTCCTACACCCCTGGTTCTCGCTTCAACTCGAAACCCTAGTCAAAACTTGACGTCGTGTCACTCAGTAATGTCCTTACCACGGGATCACGCACAACGCTCCTGCTGCTGCTTCTCACCACAGCTGAACTCTGAAGATCATCGGGCTCCTCCGGAGGATGCATTCTAGAATGTTGGTATGCCCTTGTTGTGTGACCTCCAGAGTCCAAAGAGTGTTGTTAACGGCATGTATTATCGTAGGGGGGCATGAGGGAGAAGGAGGGAGGAAGAGTGCCAGGCCCAAAGCCAGTCGGAAAGGGGCCCCGCAACTCGTATCTCAAGGTCTCTCCTAGCCGCCCCTCAAGGCAATCCCATCTGCGGTACACGAAACCGCCAGTGATTTGGTACAATCCGACTAATCAACCTCCACGCACGAACACGGCCAAGGGGAACCCAGAGCGAAAACGTCCCCCCGCCGTGTCCTCTGTCCCTCGCAAGGTGTGTCGAAGAGGGTGAGGTGTACTGCGGTTGCGTCGGTCGGCCAGGACACACGAATCCTGGCGTCGCCTTGAGAGGGTGAAAAGGAGTCTAATAGAAACAGCGAGACACAAAGTGCGGGCCAGGTTGCTAAAAAAAAACAACAGAATCACTAGCACCTATGGAACATGGGTAAAAGCAGATCCAGCGTACAGACGAAAGTCAGAACCGAAAAAGAAATGAAACCACTCCCACTGACCCCGAACGGCAGCAACGAACACGTTACCGGGCAAACTCGAGATCAGACCGCTCCAACTAATCCGGAGCGGCATCACCGCATACGCTACTGGGAATACCGCTATCAGTTCGGGCAGTGCCTGCGAATGTGCCCAAACTGCTGGAATTTATTGCATTGCGTGAGGGGGCACACCCCGAACGAATGGATGATGGTCTGCCCCTGCTTCCCGGTCGCCCGACACTTCGCGCACATGGGCTGCCTGCTGGGTCCGCCACCGCCCCGGCCGCCGCCCCCCACACGACTACGCGGAGGCCCATACTGACCGTGGATGCCAGGGCCGGACCACGCTGGCCTCGCCGGTGGCTGCTGACTGCCGTAGCCACCGCCGAAGTGCGGGGCTAGCGTGACCGGCTGCATTGGGGCCCCACCCAAGACATGTTATCCCCACCCTTGCTTTTGGCTCCATTGACGAACTTTGCTACAGCACGAAGCTCCTTAATGATGGCAGCTCGGTCTACCTGCTGACTCTCTTCCGAGGTGCTAAGTAACTTGGTATGCATCCATACGCCGGCAGTATCATACTGCTACCCATGCATGGTGTGCTGTAAGCTAGCGTCGAGGCTCGCGATAAAGTGGCGGTCCGTCTCCATGTTCCCGTCGAGGATCGCTAGTTTTAGTGATTCGGCGAGCATACGGCGAACCCCCTGCAACAAGGCCAACTTCTGCGCTGGCATCATCTACGGTACTTGCTCTAGGCGAGCCGTCTGCCCGAGCAGAGCGCTGAATGCTGCCTTGAACTAGCGAAGGATAAGTAACGAACGGAAAACGTGAAACGGCGCCACCGGTACACGCAGAGAGGGAATAAGTGGCAACATGAGCAACTGGTCTGAACTAACGCGAGAGTGTCGGACAGCTGCGACAGAGCGTGCGAGAACCGTCATGGAACGTGCAAACATGAGGCCGAAAATCTAAGTCCAACGAGCAGAGCATGCGAGAATCGCCATGGAACGTGCAAACAGGAGGCCGATAAACCTGAGCCCTACGAGCGGGCGACCGTGAATTGGCTGAGAAATGAGCGTGGTGACCGACAATTTTGGCGCAAATGAACGTGACGACTGTGAGCTGAGCTGGAGCCTGAACGCGGCTGACATGAACTGAAAAATTATTGACGCAGAGCGAGAGCGGAACTGAATGGGGAATGAGGGCACACGACCCGTAGAATCGGAACGCGGCGGAAATTAACGGAAATTCATTGAACGCCGCTCGAGAGGAAAGCTGAACGGAGCTCAAGCGACTTGCAGAGTGGACCACAGAACCTAAAGCGCGGAGCTTAGGTACGAGCCCGAGTACAGGAAAGAGAACACCGGACTAGCAATCGGGAGCGAAAATCAACGGAAAAAAAGCTCAAACGACCGGCAGGGCGGGAAAAAGAATCTAACGTGCGGAGCATAAGACGAGCCAGAATGTCGGAGAAAAGCACGCCGAACGAGACACGCACTGTGTGTGAATGATACGCCGAGACGCACGAGTAACCCAAAAGAAACAAGCAGGTTTTTTCCCGTGCAAATAATCGCACGCGGCATACAGGTATCAAATGAAACGAACAACACCGCTGTCCTGAGAAAAAACATGCACAACAAAAAGGGACCACATAGAGTACAGAAAGGATGGGACATCATGAACGAGGCAAAGATAATACGGTTGCCCGCAGGTACCATGGGTAGCACGGTGCACCACAGAAATCGCTCAACACGACGACAGAGAGCTCGCGCGGAGCAAAGACGAACAAACACCGTCTCACGCGAGGCCAGGATAGAAATACGAACAAAGACCGTCTCACGCGACGCCAGGAACGAAAGGGGTCCAGTGTGTGTGACATGTGTGTGGCATGGCATCAGCCAAAAGTCTTAGAACAGCATCCCACCGAACTGCAGAACAAGGGACAAAGGTTTGACCAGAAACCATCGCGGGGAATGTGGAGGAGAGAATGAAGAACGATAACGTGAAGCGTGTTGCGCGTAGGAATACATAAGTAACCAAGATCAACGTGGTGGATTCGAGACTGTCGGAGGGTGAAGGGGAGGGGGAACAATTGAAAGGGTGCTGCTTGTGGAATGTTCGAATAGGTGAGGATAGAAGGAGGCCAGCAAGCCGCAACAACAACAGAAACGGTGACAACATACCCAATGCATCGTTACCCCGAAACACAAGGGGAGAAACACAACATTCCACCCGGGCGATCCACAGAACCGACAACCGATGCAAGCGTCGACGGCCGCATGGGAAAAACGCTTTGGGACGTAGACGGAAACACGTGAGCGAGGCACTCCCCCAGTAGAGAAGAAAGGGTGCATGCCTGCGCTACGTCGGAAGAACCGAATTTTGTGAACACGGTAAGGGAGAACAAAGCGACGGAAAAGATCGCCGGAGAGAGCAGCGGCTGCTTTAGAGAGAGCTGAGAAACCACAGAAAGCAGCAGCCGCAGAAAGAGAAGAGGAGGGGGAGGTGTACTCATAGTCGTGCATGCCGTAGTCGTTAGACCATTGACCTCGCATCCCTACAAAGCCGGGACGGAGCACGCCGGGTTCTCACCGGACCAGGCTCTCACATCACCAAGCGCGAAGCGCCGTGAGATATTCGGCGAGTCGCATGAAGGGTGCGCTGCATCCTGCTAAGGGTGTTCGGCATCTTGTGCTTACTTCCTTGCGCACGGATGACAGCTGCAGTATGACATAGTTATTTTCTGGTGCTTTCACTTCCAGAGACAGTTGTAAGCACTGTGTAACTGCCTCGAGGGTGCTTGACCATTTTAACACAACGTGGTGCGATCATCCCCCTTGCGCGGAGTGAGGGTTCTCCACCCCGCACAACATGATCTACTCGACCACCATCATGATTACCGCCAAAAAAAACAGAGGTAAAAAACCCCGGTAACCTGGTTGCCGAGTTCACGAAGTGAATTGGCTTGATTCACAACGTCTATGCCAAGCGACGAAAACCCAATCCCGATAGAGAA